ATTAGAACATAAACTTAATGCAAATCTTTCCCAAGAAAACCGGAAAAAAGAGTTGTAACATACGCTGAATTCGCTGTTGGCTTTTCGCGTCAGAGACTCTACGCGAGATTGCAAGGCAGAATCTGCAATTCAAAAAGCCAAGAATTCACTTCTTGACCACTTAAAATATTTGTATAGTCTATAGTTTTTGTAAAATATACCAACCAGGGTCAATTGGACCATCGGTTGTAACTGTGACTTTCTGTCCATTTGAAAGAATGTTTGTGGTATAACAAGATAGTACTATAATGAAAATTCCATTTGACTGTAATTAGATATCAATCAAATTTTATTTATAAATTCATATTGAGCTTGTTCGTGACCCAAAACAGGTACATGTATTTGCCAAACTAGTCAGCGTTGATGTGGGAACTATGTTAACCTTTACAATGATTTGATCGTATCATAACTGCAGTTTGACACCATCGTCACGAACAACAGTTTTGGTGATATATTATCCGATTGTTTTTTTTTTTGAAACTCATATTATCCGATTGTTGCCCTGGATAATAATCAACAGAAGCTGGAAATTGGTAAAAATTTATGTAGAACCTGCATAAGTCCCCTAAGTCAAACAAGAATGGGACTCACCTAGACTGTAACCAGGTATATTTGTACTTGTTGTAAAGTCCAGGGGGGAGTTGATCTTTGCAATAAGTTAAATTACTTAAGGTCAGCAACAACTTCCTGTGAGCGTCAAGTACACTCTCTGGAGCATTGATCAGTGGTTCTTCTTGGTGATCAGCCTTTGAGGTGCCTTGAGACAGGTCAGCACCAATTGAGCTGAAATATCAACATGATCATCACCTAGTGTTTCCTATTGTTTGCCTACATGAACTATAACAGAGGAGGCTTGGTGTAAAAGGCTTACCAGCAAATTCCATAAAGCAATTGAAAAAGGCAAGTCGAACTGATATCAGGATTTCCTCAATATGGGCAAACATATATATATATATACATGGGTTTCGTAAATTTGAGAATATTTTATACTAGATTATGACCGTGTCAATACACGGGTAAGCACACTAAAAATTTATTAATATAAATATTTAAGTTTTAATTAGTACCTTGGATTATCAAAAATATTTTGAAATTCTTAAATCATGAGATATCAATTTGTATCTTGATTTTCATGTCCTAATTCATATAATACATATCCGAATATGTATAAGTGGAATTTAAATCATATTTTGACTAACAAATAAACAAATTATATTCTTAATCATTATGAATATATACATATATTGGTTATTTGATAAAATCGTAAAAACAATTCAAATTTTGTATAATTAAATGAAGACCCCAAAACAT